AATATATGGAGGTGCAGTGGCGGCAATCCGATCATCACCTCCAATGCAGCGGTGGGAGCCGTCCGCATCGCCCCGGTCACTCCCAAGCAGGCCAGCCTCTGTAGCTTTTCCAGCTTGGCCCGCACACCCGCCTGCTGAGCTTTACGGCACCATACAATCGACGCATAGGTGACGATGGGCCTAGCAAGGGCCGTATATAGCCACAGTGCTATTCTGGGACTAATTCCCCATGTCCCCCCGATGAAGCTCCTACACGTCCACAAGGCCGCCGTAGCTCTCCCGATAACTCTATCGATATGGGTATTCCAAGAGAGACGATCATCCAGGGTTACCCCCAGATACTTCACCTCCCTCGAGTAACTAATACGTTCACCAAACAGAATTGGGCTCGTTAATCTGTCCCTGCTTCTGCGTCTGGTGAAGGCGACCAAAGTGCTCTTGCTTGGATTTATATTTAACTCAACGCCTTTGCACCACCTTTCCACAACACGTAAATTTTGCTGTAGAAGATCAGAAATAGTGCTCTCAAATTTTCCTCGCACGACGAAGGCCACATCGTCAGCGTATCCCCAGACACGCGCCCCGGAGCCCCTGAGAGCAGCTATTAGATCATCCACTACAATGGACCACAGGAGGGGCGAAAGAACCCCGCCCTGCGGACATCCTTTTGCAGCGGAGATGAAGAGTATATCGTCAGCTATGGTGGACTTAATAATCCTATCCTGTAGCATCCGATTGACCCATCTGCTAGTCGTCGCATCAATCCCTCGTTTGTGCAACGACTCACAGATGACATGATATGGGGTGTTGTCAAAAGCTCCCTCTATATCAAGGAAGCAGCCAACTGCTACCTCCCGCACTTCCAGTGAGTTTTCAAGGACCCCCACCAGACTCTGCAGAGCGAGTACAGTAGACCTTCCCGACTGATAGGCATATTGAGATTCATGCAAGGGATTGCTTCCCAGTGCACCGTCCCGTATAAATCTATCAATCACTTTTTCCATTGCTTTCAATAGAAAAGAAGTAAGGCTGATTGGACGGCAAGACCTTGGGTGGTTGCTTGGTCGCTTACCCACCTTCGGAATATACGTCACTTTAGCCACCCTCCATGCCTGAGGGATGTAACCCCACGCATAGCTGGCGCGAAAAATTCCCAACAGTGCTCTAGCGATATGTTGGAAACCCCTCTGCAAAAATGCAGGATATATCCCGTCATCACCTGGAGATTTGAAGGGCCTGAAAGAGAAAACAGCCCATCTAATCCTGCCCATCGTGAAGACTAGACGGGATCGTTGCCAGTCATCCCTCCTGGGCCAGGGTGCCCCCGGTTCGATGACTGCATTTGAGTGATTCCGAAGAATCTCCGAGTCAGGAAAGTGCGTTGACGCCATAAGCTCCAACGTCTGCCTTCCGTTCTCAGTCATGGAGCCATCAGGACGTTCCATTAGGCCCAACCTACTAGCATACTTTTTGGAAAGCACACTGTGAAGACGCGCACTGCTGGGGAGTTCATCAATGCCCTTGCAGAACGCCCTCCACGAGATTCTCTTCGCTTTCCTAATTTCTTTATTGTATTTTGTGAGTGAGTCCTTATACTCTTCCCACGAACCTGACGCTTTGGCCCTATTGAATAGCTTCCTGGTCTTTAGTCTAAGCCTTGAAAGCTCCTCATTCCACCACGGGCACTTCCTATTGCTCCGCCTCGGCTTAGCACGGCAGCTCCCGTGATAGGCATTAGTAATAGTCGCCGTCAGGGCCTCGCTGGCCAGTTCGATATCCATCACCGTTCTGACAGAAGCAGGAACGGATCTAATCCCATCCATGAGGAGCGTTTCGAATTGACTCCAATCTGTGGATTGGGGCACCCGATATATTTCTTCTGCCAGGCCCCCGGAGACCATGATATCAAACCTAATCTGCCTATGATCGGACATGGATGTCTCATTTGAGACATGCCATCCACCTATCCTACTGCCGATAAATTCAGTGCAAAGGGTGATGTCAAGGACCTCTTCCCTAATTGCATTTATGAATGTCGGCCTATTGCCTTCATTCATAATCATTAATTTATTGCTATATATAAATTCAAGTAGGCACTCACCTCTTTTGTTTATATTGCTGCTTCCCCAGACGGTGTGGTGGGCATTGGCATCACTTCCTATTATAAGTTGGAAGTTCCTCCTTCCACAAAAGTCCACTAGATCCTTCAGTTGCTCGTCCGGGTGGGCACAGTCCCCCGGGAGGTAGGATGAGCACACAATGAACTCTGTCCAGCCCCCGCAGGACTTCACCTTCACCAACGCAGCTACCTGATCCTTAGAACAGTAATCTGGAATGGGAAAATACGTTAGCTTTTTACTAAACAAGATGCAAGCCCTAGGCCTGCCCCCAGTTGTATTATCATACAATAGCTCACCTGTTAGGCCCTTAACCTGATCCTTCACTATGTAAGGCTCTTGGATAAGGGCGATATCGAGGTGATCCTTCATAAATCTATGAGCCAGAACATCAGTAGATGCCCTAGCATGCTGTAGATTTATTTGGATGCACCTCACAGCCATATTATTTCCTCCGGCTCTTGTCTATGGGCTTTGGCCCTTTAGACAAAGGCTTTACATGAGCCTTACCTCCCATTTTCGCCTTTTTACACATCTTGGTGGGCGCCTGCCCTGCCACAGCCTCTTTTGCCGCCCCAGGTGCCACGCTAGCCCCTCCAACAGCAAATACCGAAGCATTTCCGGGCTTCCCAATGGGCTTGAGCCCTTTTGGTTCCCCCGGGACGCTTGTATTTGGCGTGCTGGTCGATGGTCCTTCCGTTTCCCTTGCCGCCATTTTCGGAGCGACTTCAGACTTTCCAATGAGTTTTGGCTCTTTTGGTTGGCCTGAAGTGCTCGTCGTTGTCGTTGTCGCGGTGGGCACTGGTTTTTTATTTTGTCCTGCCCTGCCGCCAGCACCTTGAGAGGATTTTCTTCCTTTAACCCGAACGGTAACACGGAAGAAATTCAGGAAAAGTCGGAACTCCGCTTTCCGTAGATCTTCCAATCCGGAATCATCCACGGAAAAGGTGATGGAGCAGCCCCCGTCCTTTTCCTTATCCATCCTCAGCACCCTCCAGGAACTTATCTTGAGGCTGGGATTTTGCTTCCCTATCCTACTTAGAAATTTGTCCCTGGAGAGACTGACGGTTGTCTCGTCCTTTGGTACGTAGGTGACGCAGACATGCTGTTTGGGCATGCTGTCGCCATCCAGTACCACGACATCGCAACCGTCCCAAGGCTTTATCTTCCTGCAGACACTGGTTATCCACTCCCTGGTGTCTTGATTGTTGCATGTTACGGATATCCATCCGTCCCTTTGCAACGCTGCAGTGAATTGTGGATGAGAGTCCACAACCCTATCCATTTCATCCATGATGGCTACTTTGATTTTCCCCATCTGGACTTCGGATAGCCTTTCCTCTGGATGCAGTCTATGAGTGATGGCCACCTTGACCTGTGCTACTGCATCCCGATAAGAAGTCATTTTCGGGTTTTGTTGAGGAATGATCCCAGGGACCTTTTCCTCAACATTGCCCTTCATCGACCTCTTCTTTGAGGGCCCTGCATCAGGGGTGTTGCTTTCCGACCTTTCCCTCTTTTGGGGATGGTCGGCCACAACAACCGATCCGCAGGCCTTCAGCTTTTCCAGCCTTTCCTTCTCGTATCTGCGAGCTTCCTCTGGGGACATGCCATCCCTGATATAAGCCGCGATACGCCGCTTGGATGCACCAGAGAAATATTGTTTTTTTCCCCTGATGTCCAACCTTTTCAGGTCCTCCTCAGTTTTTTGGATAATAGGTCCAAGAGGATCCTGATTATCCGCCTCCATAGGAGGCGACGCCTTTTCCTCCACTGGCGTGAGAAGGAGTTCCTCCTCTGCGTCAGTTGAGAGAAGCTCTGGTTCCGAAGACCCTTGAGCACTAAGTGGTTGTATGTTGTCCTTAGTGTCGTTGTTGTTGTTGTCACTGTTGTTATTTGTCTTGTTGTTGTTGTTGTTGTTTTCCATTTCTGTCCCACGAGTAGCGCGGGAAAGTAAAGTCACCCATGGCAGAGCCCGGCATACCATGGGAAGGCTCATTTAAACTGGAGGGCGCCTGGTATCCAGAGTCCGCATACTAACGACTAAGCTCCCCCTTAGCCACGCAGTCATCGGCATATGCTGTTCCACCTTGACTTGGGACGCCTGTCGTCAGCTGACGTATAGATATAGGGCTGAAACTCACAAAGCAAGAGGCTCGCCGCGAGACATGACCACGACACGAACGTAACTTTGATCGTTTCAATCACCCCTTTATCCTCCGCCATTACCGGGGCCCACCACTAGGAGGTGACAGTGCGGTTTTTTAATAACTTAAAACCTAATTGAAATTATTTCAAAAAATTCTAAAAGCAACGTATAATTAACCGAAATGAGATGACTCAAATTGTTATTACTTTTTGAACATTTTTGTTAGCCAACATTACTCAACTTACCTTATTGAGAAATACAAAATCTACATGAAAAATCATACATTCTTCCTCATTAACATTTGAAACCATACTGAAATATGAATTTGAAAATATTTTTTCGTACTTTCTTTCCTCCTACCTTTCTTTTTCATGCAATAGAATTTAAATGGAAAGCTTTTAAAAAAATGTGTATAATATCCTGAAATTCTTTAAAATATTAAACTCTTTTTTAAGTAAAAAAAGAAAAAATAATAAGAAATATGACACAATCAGTGGCATTTAAAGAAAAAAACAGGAACGAAGGCAACAATTCGTTATAATTTGGGAAAAAAATTTAGTATTGGGAGTTGGGACTTGTTAGATATAAAGACATTATCTGAATACTTAAATATGTAACTATCGTGTTTATCGTAGCCTTTTTGTAAAGATTGATAAACGATAAGATAAAAAAACAGTGCAAAAACAAAAAACATGTATTTGCATTTAAAAAAAAATATTTTCTAAAAATTATAGGCTTTTCTTGCTGTACGCAAAAGTCGATTCGTTGGCTTATGTTTGGTGCAATCTCTTAAAAAGGCGAATCGATATGTTAAAATCAATGGTGTTGATTGTTGTACAGAAGAGTTCTTTGATGCAAAGTGAGTAAAAATTTAAGTACTAAATTTTCGTATAACTCAAATTCTACACTTTTCTAGAATTGGAATTTCAAGAATATGGGTGTCACCACTGTGCCGCCGGATAGGAATCGCTTCCAAATTATTGCTAGCCGCGCGTTCTCATACTTTAGTCGGTGATATAGTGGATATCGATAAGGTAGCTTTTAGTTCACCGACGGAAGATGGAAAAATATTTGCTCAAAAAATAAGTAAAAGAACAGATTTTTTGCTATATCAATAAAGTTGACAGCGAGTATCAATTTATTTTTTCACCGTACCATCTTTGTAAAAGAGCGTTAAAATATTAGGAAAAACTAAAGTACGTGCATTTATTACAAATTGCTCGTGTTTTGAGCTCTAATTTAATGTTATTTAATACAATCAAATAATACATATGTACATACTTATATAATTAAGAAAAACAGAAATTTATGATATTAACAAAGGTTTAATGTCATAATTTTTCTCACATAATTCCATCATATAAGAGACAAAATTAGTTTGATTATGTGCAGAATATATTTTTTGCTCGTTCGCCAAGAGGCTACTCTTTTCCACCTAACATATATTGCAGTGCACAGATTAGTTTTATACGATTCCTGTTAAATATTGTTAAAGAACATAAAAAAATTGTTTTATCGTTCGTTTATATGTTGTTGATTAAAAATAAAAATGTTGCTGATGCTCAAATTGTCTTGTTATTTTATTATTACTTTTTTTCAGCAATTCTAACGTAAATTTCAAAATATAAAAGCGAATTGATTCAAAACGGAAAAGTGCATTGATGTGGATTTGCAAATTTTGGCTTGCTATCATAAAGTTATATCTAAAATATAAATGCAGAATCAAAGCAGGATAATCTAGGTTTTCCTAGAAGTAAAAGGCATTTACTTTGTTCCATTTGTAAAAGTAAACATCAATTAATAAAAGCCAAAAATTTTATGAGATTTGCATGAGCTTCTGCATACTCTGCTTTGCTTTTCTCTGGTAAAAACTCTGGAGGCAATTTACTGAAAGCCACAAAACGTTTTTAAAATGCATTTTTTTGATAATTCTGGTTAGTTGGTTGATTGAAGATACTATTCCTTTTTTGAACAGAAGACAGCTTTAGATGTGAGATAACTTTTCCTTTGCGGTAACATTTCAGTTTTAATTTTAATCAATTTATTATAGAACCACACCTAATTAAAAAAAACTTGTGTTTCTCTATTATGGAGAACTGCATTTTATTTAAAACTTTGGTGTAAAAAATTTAGTGTAAAACACTGCTATAAAATTATTTAATTACCTTCTTCAAAGGTTTTTTTTCAATAATAATGGAAATAATAAATAAAGATACATTTGTTTGCAGTATGTATGTGTATAAATTATTTTATTCTTTGAACAAAGTATTTCAAAAATAAATTAAAAAGTATTTACAACACTAAATAAAATACATGTAAATACATTAAAGACTTTGAAAACAATAAAGTAACCAACATAACATAATTCATAATTTAATCTAAAATTAATTTAAATTGTTTTGTATTAGTATATTATAAATATAGTGCATTTGTACAAAGTCGATTATGTTTTTAATTGTTGTACGGAAACATTACTGAAGATATTGTAACCTTTTTTAATAAATCTTTTCTTTTTTAAATTTACGAAATATAATTTATATTTTGTAGATTATTAAGCATGTTTTATGCATTTATTATAATACACTATACATAAAAGGATAATACATATAATTGGAATTAATAACTTAATAATTTTTACAATTCTTGCTAATAAAATGCTTATGGTTTAAAAGTATTTATTAAATTTCATTACTGTACTTTAACTTGTATTTACATTATAACCAAGTCATATACATAATAGTTTACCAATGAAAATCAGTATCAAATTATGCATCCGTATATATAAAATAGTGATATTGGTACATAACAAGTATAACATGTATTTTCATAAATAAGTATTTATCTTTCAGTTTCGTATTGTAGCAATAACATTTTAAAATTTGATTTGAACTAAACAGAGTATATGTATATTGCCAAAATCTGTTGAAAAATAAATCTTTAAATTGAATTTAAAAATCGTATTACTGTATTATGAATCTTAAGGCATTTTTGGAAATCGGTAACTTATTAATTTTATGTTTTTTAAGTATGTATTATTAATACAGAAAAATGTAAGTGACAGTTAAAATGTAAATTTTATGTTTTATTTTAATTATGACATTAAATTTTGTCGAAATAACATTCTTATTTTTGAAAAAAATTTATCTAATGAGTTGAAGAAATTTATATATTTTTTGAATTTTAATTGAAAAAATTTAAGCAGGTAAAACTATTGAATTTCTTAGAAATTAAATTCCTATATTAAAAAAAATAATTGTCTTGCATGGCTGTTCCCATAGATATTTTTATATTTCTGCGGAAATTCTAGAACTATTGTCTATAACATTTAAATAATTTTCTTGTACGCTTTTGAACATAACATCGACTAGTTTTTCAAAATTATAATTAGCTTTCCACTTCCAATCTTCTCTGGCTTCAGAATCATCTATAATTTGAGGCCACGATTCAGCTATAAGTTGCCTTGCATCAGGTTGATACCGAACATTTAAATTTGGAATATAATTTTCTAAAGTTAATAATATAATTTAATAAATGTATATTTATATGCAATTTAAAATTTACTAATTTTTTCAACAAGTTCTGCTGGTGTAAATGAGGTAGCCGCGATATTGTAGCATCTTTGTCTAAGATTTTCTCCAGGAGCCGTCATAAATTCATGCATAGCTCTAAGGCAATCTTCTATATACATCATTGGTAAACGTGTATCAGGAGCTAAATAACAGTTATATCTTCCATTTCTTAGCGCATCATAAAAAATAGAAATTGCATAGTCTAAAAAATAAAATCTCATCAAATTTTACTATTCACTTACGCAGACGTAACTAAAAATTTACCTGTGGTACCGCCTCCTGGCAAATCACTTGAAATTATTCCTGGCAAACGGAGACATCTAAAATCTAAACCAAATTTATGATAATAGTATTCACCCAATAGCTCTGCGTGAACTTTTGATACCCCGTAAATAGTTTTGGGTCTTTGTATCTATAAATTTAAAGTAATAAAAATTTGTTAGACGTATTATTTAATTGCAATTCTTATACATTTAAAGTTTTTCGCGTGATGTGATGAAAGCTGTTTTAAGTGAAATTATTGTGTTATTATCTTTTCTTTTTGATTATTTTCTTATCGTTTTCTTTTGCATAAGGCTTGGGGGGATTGTAAAAGCAGTAAATTGCTAATATATCCGATTAAGGTTATTTGCTATTTATGCGACCAATTTATATTTTGTTGAATTTTAAGAAGTAAAATTTAGAAGGGTAATTATATGCATAGTGAGAGAAATTTTTTGCAAGGAAATTACTCCATTATCAACCCTTATAAACTGTATAAAATTTATATACATTTTTCCAATATGTATCGAATAGAAAAATTAAGTTATAGATTAAGAGCAAAACTTAAATTTTGATATTTAATGTTCGTAATTTTTCTATAAACAGTAAAAAAAAAATTACGAACGTTATTAATTTCGTACGTAGCTCTGAAATTTGGAAAATTACGAACATTATATTGTCGATTACGAATTACTAAAATTCTGTCAAAAGTCTACGAAAGAAATAACTACATCTAACAAGTACTTTAAAAAGAATGATCGTATCAAATTTTTAAATTTTGAATATTTTTGTTTAAGTTTGAGTTACCCTAACACAGCTACCATGAAGAGAAATGAATTAATATTCGATAGAAAATTTTTTTTTCCTCTATTCAAAAACTATAATACAACTTCAAAACTTTTTGCAAAATATTACAAACTTAGATGAATTTTGCAAAGTAACGCTTATCTAAAAAAATCGATGTCGCATTGTTGTGACATAAGCATTAATTTATATGCAGGAAATCTGGTACCTTTATTTCGACAAGCTGCAATTCGAAAATGAGCACATGTGCACGCCCACCCATAGTATTTTTTAATGGAAATTGATCAAAGAATTATCCCAGAAATCATTTGCCACCTTATGCGAGCCACTTTGTATATAAATAAACATTTTAACAGTTGAAATGAAATATTGATTTTGACACTCTGAGAAATAATGCTGCCATTGGTGATTTATAATCTCTACGAAAGAAATTTGTGATCATTGAGAAGTTTACGTTGTAGCTAAGTTCGTAATTCGTAGAATTCATGATAGGGCTGTACTCTTTCTGGATTTTTTATTTCTTGACTACATTCAATTTCGTTATAATTTAATTCTTAATAAAGAAGGATTTAGGTACATGAAGGTAAAAGTATTAAAAGGTTGGTAAATTAATAAGAATAATTTCAATACACTCATTTCTCGTTTAACGGAAGTTCCTTATACAGAATTTCAGTTTTACAGAATTCAGAAAATATTTAAACCCCGAAAAAAAGTAGTCTAAAAAATTTAAGCAGTCTAGTTCCGTAAAGCGAGGGATGAGTGTATTTTTAAGAAATGTCTTCAAATGTAAGTACAAATTTCGTTTGTATATAATTTTTTTTTAGGTATAATGTATTTGCTGAAATTTCGTTGAAAATTGATTCGATTGTAGTATGCAATGTGCTCGTAAACAAAAATTTGGTAGCGTTTTCAGTTTTCGTTTATTTTTAAATAATGAAATTTATTTATTTAGTAAACATTTAAAAAAGTAAAACAAAAGCTGACTAAATGGTGTATGTATAAGAAAAGATCCTATTATATGATTTATTAAATTGTGCAATATTTATTTAAAAATTACACTCACCGTAGTATTTGGTGTTGGATTTCTTGGTGATTCGGGTCCGAATGCTGCTATGGAACTTGGAACGAATAATCTCAGCTTGTATTGCTTTGCCAATTCAAAAATATTGTGAACACCTTCGATGTTTACTCTATTTCATAAAAAACAATAAAAACATTTAAATCTCAAGAACATTTTTAATTTAACATTGTTAACTATTTAGTTCAGATGAAACCATAGACGGTTTTCAATTTAAAAAAAAGTACGATATCACGAATAAGACGTAAGAAAAATGATGTTAGTCTATTTACATAATATATCGTTTGATATTTGCAAGCGACATATTTACATACATATAGTTCTGATCATCTCAAACATCAAATCTATTTGTGTAAAATAATCAGCAATTAGAATCGGTTACAAAAAACAATTTTTGTTTAAATTTTATTGTTTATAATTGCGCTTAAATTTTTTTTACAATTAAATTTATTGAATAACTTATTTAATCGATAATTAATACTGATTAATTAATTATTATAATTACTTGTGATGATCCTTGAATGAAGTTCATCTTTTTACAAAATGCTGATAATCGTATTATTGACAGGGGGGTAAATATTTTTTTAATTCTATAACGATGGTGAAAACACGAACAATTTATTTTTTATTTTTTGAGTAATAAATGGATAGATTTAAAATTAATAAAAATGAGGTTGGTTTTTTAAACAATTTTATAGAACTTTTTTCTTAAGAGTCGGTACATAAAAATTTTTCCATAACATGTGATGTGGCTTTTTTAGTTTTGGTGTTTGAACAATACAATATTTATGTACATACAACTGTATATTTCCCATTTAAAAATAATTGATATTTCCATTGAATTAGAAAAATTTTGTATCTTCCACAGCTATACTCGTTGTTTTAAACAAAAAAAAATCTTAAATAAAATATTTTTATTTAAACAAAATGCTATTCAGTTTTACCTATGTAAATAAAGAATAAAGTTAGGCCAAACCAATGGTTTGTATTATAGAATTTTTCCCTATTAAAATTATTTTCATTCATATACAAAACTATTTCTAGGATTGCATATATTTACGATGAACAGTTTATGCAGTTTTTGAAATAAAGCAAAAACTAATTTAAAGAGGGGTTAACATAATGCTCGATTTTAAGGGTTAATTGCGTGAGTTAAGAAAAATAATTATATTTTTTAATGTTATATAATTTACCGTTAGCTTTTTGCGTTTTTAGAAATTTGGAAAAGCTTGTAGTTCCGGAAATATAGGCGTCAAAAATTCAAATTTTAAAAATTTCAAGAAGCGATAACTTGAGAAGGGGTGGAGATGGAAAAAAATTTTCTTTTAACGAAATGAATTATTTGTTAGTGTCTAAAAGCTGGTAAAATTTCAGGTTCCCACAACCTGTGGTCTAGAAGAAAAACGAGATAAAAATTTTGGAAAAAGCGGATTTCAGATAACGGTAAATTTTAATGGAAATTTTGTTTTTTTAAAGTTGAGCTATAGTATACCGTGCTAGGGGAAGCAAGACACTGCCTTTCCACATCTGCAAAAAATTGTAAAATCACTGTAATAAATAGTTAAAAAATAGCATTTTTAGGATTTTGAAGGGGTATAACTTCTAGAGGGTAGGGGGAGATAGGTAAAAGTTATGTTCTACGGAAATAAGTTTCTAGTAAAGATCTATGTACGTATTAAATTTCAGCTTTTCTTCAAGGGTGTAGAAGTTTTGTAAACATGTCCATGGACGGGCGGATGGACAGAGTGATACTAAAAAGCACTTTTTTCAAAATTTTTTTAGAAAGTGCTAAAAGTAAAATATTATGTGCATATACTTACATACATAAATATTTTTTTTCTTATTGTATAATTATTTATGTATGTAAGCATGAACTGATTTTCGAAATTGAACAAGGAATTAAAAAGAAAATAAAAAAAAATAATAAAAAAAAGAAGCATGTAGTATAGAAATTTTACTTAGATAACTTACTTGATTGCTAAAGGAACATTTTGTTCTCCCGTGGCACTTAACAATGCGGAAAAGTGAAATAACCAATCAATACGATGATCAACAACGATTTTTTGTAGACTCTGTAATTAAGGGAATCTCGGTTATTTAACAAATAAGAAATTATTGATTTTCTGAGTTTGTTTTTTATATATATATATGTTTGTTTATATGCTATTTCTTAATAGAGTGGTTGATCTTATAAATAATTTGTTTACGATCATAGAAAATATTTTTTAAGATCTATTTTAACAAGACATATAATTTGTTAATTAAGAGCTCAATTCATTGAAGATTTTTATAAATCTTCTTACAATTTTGTTATTTAATTATATGTATATACTTACATACACAAAAATATTATAATGCTCTTAATTTTTTGATGATTTTTACAATTCAAATTTATATAATCATTTTAATGATTGCAATGAAATATATTATATAATCATATTATATAATCATATAGACACAAAAAAAAATTTTTTATTTAAAAATTATTTATTATGTTTTATAACTTGTTATAAAACATGTTATTATTTAAGATTTTCCTGAAAAGTTTAATATTTATGTTTAATATGTATGTATTAATAATATTTCAAGTATATTTCTTTGTAAATATTATGAAAGAATTTATTACTTTAACATGATTTCTGTATAATGATTATTGTCATTTATTACTTATTGTTTAAATTAAAATATACCTTAAAATCCAAAATATCTGCATACAAAAATGGGCCTGGAACGGCTGTGCTTGGTTTGAGAATATCTGATAATATTACATTTTCAACTCCATAATTTTGACGTAAATATTTAGCACACTCGAGTCCAAGTTGACCCAAACCGCCTATAGTTCGAAAAATGAAACATTTAATAAAAACTTAAAAGGAATTGAAGTTTTGTTTAATTTCTTTTTTGTTACATGTTCGATACAGAAAACTGTAAATAAACATATATAAATTTCCAGGAGTATTTATAAAATTATATTATTTCAGATGTTTAAAGGTATTTTATTGAATTAAAATGCCAGCATATTATATATGTATGTATGTATATATTCTAGCAGCACTAAATTGAGAATAAAGCAGCAATAAATTTGAGTTATGTTAATTTAGAAGTTTATATTTATAGTTTTACTTCAATCTTACTGTTATATAGTACATATTAGTACACAAATATTTGAATAATTTACTTGAGATCTAAAACAAGAAAAACCGAATTTTCAGCCATAAAATAAATCAACCGAAGAAAACCGTTAATTAATATTTTTCGTTAAATATAGATTTCGTTACTATTTTTAATATAATTAAAAATTGGCGCTAACCCTATGTAATCCTTGAATTTAAGCTAGATTGTGAATTGAATACGTAATATGTATTAACGTAATATAATAAACGTATTCGAACGTATGTTCGAAGGGTATACTAAATTTGCCTTACCGTTTGTAACGCTAAGAAATAACGGTGTTAGATATAGACTCAAGTGTATGTTTTTGATCAGCGTCAAATTTTGAGTTGATTTAGATTTGTCTGTCCGTCCGTCCGTCCGAACGATAACTCAAAAACTAATTGAGCTAAATTCACCAAATTTTTACAAATGATTTATTGTAGTAAGTGCCAGAACCCTATTTAAATTAGACGTGATCGGGGTACCGGTTCGGGTAGCTGCCATACAACTTCAAAATTTATTTGGCTGTATCTCAGAAACTATAAAAGTTGTGGTATTGAAATTTCACACAAACGAATATATTAATAGGGCCAATGTGTCTCATAAAAGTCGTTGAAATTACTTGGCTCCTTCTGGTACCTGCCATACAACTTCAAAAGTTATTTGACCATATTTCAGAAACTATTAAAGCTATCGCATTGAAATTTCACACAAACGAATATATTAATAGGGCCAATGTGTCTCATAAAAGTCGTTGAAATTACTTGGCTCCTTCTGGTACCTGCCATACAACTTCAAAAGTTATTTGGCTATATCTCAGAAACTATAAAAGCTGTGATATTGAGATTTCACACAAGTGAATATATTAGTAGAGCCGATGTGCTTGATAAAATTCGCTAAAATTTCTTGGCTCTTTCTGGTAGCTGCCATACAACTTCAATAGTAGTTTGACACAACTAGTATTTTGAAAAACACATAGTACTGAAATTTTGCATAAATTAATATGGTAATGCGGCAACTTAAAGTCATAGTCTGCCCCATAGTTAGTTATGGCACATTAGTTATTCGCACATAGGATAACAAATTCGTACGGGTATCACAGAGTTGACAAGGTCAACTCTACTTTTTTTCTCGTTATATTTTAATTTTAATTAAAAATGCTGAAATTATTTTTTTTGTAAATTATATTTTACCGGTACCTTTTTGAGTATCAATTATTTTAAAACGCAATATTTTAGTTTTTGCATTCAGTGATTATACAAGTGTGTATTAAATAAATTTAACAATTTTTTAATCTATTATTTTAAAAATAAATTTTTAATTACCAGTAATTAATATTTTTGGTGCTCTTCCTTGGTTGTGCAAGAAACGTCGTTTGATAATATTAGTTTGATTTCTAGGTAAATGAAGGTATGTTTTAATTAAACCGCTTGTTAATAATTTTTTCAGTGACATTGTCGTCTTTATAATATGAAAAATACACACTTTTATTATTAAAAATTATAAAAAAATGGTTATTTATTTATTTGATTTATACATAAATTTCTAAATTTAAGAATTTTCAAAATTTAACAATTTTTTAATTATTGCTTGAGAAATATTTATTAATTTTGTTTTCAACTGAAATTATTACAAAAAATATCACTAATAAAAAAAAATATTCGAAATAATATTTAGTTGACTTTGTGATCTGAACGCTACGATTTGTAAATAAAGAATAAAATTATAATTTGAGACGATTTTATTAAAATATAAAAATTCAAAAAAAAAAACTTTGCAATTGTTCTAAATTCGATGACAATGTGTTTGTAAAGTATACAGACGAATCCTAAGTAAGTTATTTTCTTTTTCTAAGTTGTTAATACATATAAAGAATACAAAACATCATTCGTAAATTGAAAATGCAAAATATGTATTAAGTAGATAAAAAAATATATGCATAATATGTTGTATGTACTTATGTGTAAAATTCTGAATAAGAATATAAACGACGTATGTATACATATACTTGTATTTATATCCTTAAAACTTTTTGTACATATCACATATAAATGTATGTGCGTATATAATGTATGTATATCGCTGTGAAAATATCAATAAACATATATGTAAGTAGCTACATACATATATGTCATTTATTGAAAAAACTTTTTCCCTTTATTCTATTTTTTTAATATAAGTTCTTGTTTTTAGCTATAAATCGTTTATGCCATCATAATTTCATGCAAAAAAAATTATAGCAAAACAACAATTTGGTGGGCTTGAGAATGTTTATCATAGACTTTAATATGTATATTAAGTTCTAAGTTACGTAGACATAGAAGTGTGTACGTACGTACACATCAAACGACGCGCATATGCAACAAAATGGGATGATATTTTTTTAATTATTTTGTTATGACGATCTATTATGACTACCAAAAGAATTCTCTTGTTATTTTGAAAACGTTTTTGCAAAAACAATTTGAAAAAGAATTAGTCTTTTATTGAATTAAAAAACAATATAATAGAAAAACGTCGCAAAAAAAGTATATACATATATTTTCAACAATATATTTCAAAATATGTTGTTGAAAAGAGTTCAAATTTAAGTACATATTTTCAAAACAAAAAACATAGCACTTTTAAGTGCTTCAACGGATGTTTAACTTACCTGTTCTTATGCCTATAAATCATATACCATGTAATTGCAATATTTTAACAAATAAAATTACTTATTAAAAGTTAAAGGAATAATATGCAGTATTTTACTAATATGCATACATTATGTATATGTATTTTCTTATTATGTACATTATACACGAACACAAGATGTTCTAGTTATTAATCAGCATGTTAGATAGCCGAACTATTCTATTTGTTCTATCCTATTATAGTTTATCCTAGGTGTATTATCCTATACTCTGGAGAAATCAATAATAAACCGTTATTATTAACAATTTTTTAGTCGTGGTTATTAAACAACATCGGTAACAAGCATTAAAAAACAAAATTTTTAAGAGTAGATTCAAATGTAAATACCTAACGACATAATTGTGTTCCTAATAGCCACACATTATAATAGCCAAATTTTTAAATGGATGGCTCTAATAAATCAATTAATAAGAAACGCGATTATTTATATAGAGACTAAGCATAAAATTTAAATTTATTATACTTCAAACCCTTGCAAGAACGGTGTCAAAAAGGTAAACGAAATGCGGTTTGTCCATATGTATATAATTAATAATTTTCTTGCATGCAGTAAATAGATATAAATTCCCATTAAAAATTTTTTGGGTCTGATGAGCATTGTATTATTGCGGATTTTGTATTAACGCAAAACAAAAACTTTTACTCCCGATCTTTTTTGCAAAATTTTTTTGAAAAAAATAATTGAAATGTTTACAAAAATTCTACACCCTTTAAGATAGAAAGCTGAAATTTAATATGTATATAGTAATTTTCCTAGAAACTTATTTCCTGAGAAGAAAACATTTACCTTCTCAAAACCCTAAAAATGCCATTTTTTTACTATTTATTGCGCTGAAACCATAAGCATTTTTCAAATTTTGCTAACGCAGAAATCCAGTGGCTTGCTTCACCTATGGCAAGCTTTCTCAAATTTCTATAAAGGGAAAAAGCTAACGGTAAAATCTGACATGAATGATTTTTCTTAACTCACGGAATTAACCCTTAAAATCGAGCATTATGTTAACCCCTCTTAATATTAATTTTTGCTTTATTTCAAAGACTGGATAAGTCGTCCATCATAAATATATGCAATCCTAGAAATAGTTTCGTTTATGAATTAAAGTAATTTTAAAAGTGTGGTTGGTATACATAGACTGTATTCATAGACAAAATTTTTTAGCAATCCTTCTAAAATTTTTTAGAACTCAAAGTCCTAAAAATGCCATTATTTGACAATTTATTATATCGATATCATATAAACTATGTGCTTATATAACCAGGTTTTTGTTGCTATACCATAAAAGATTTTTTAACGTTCAGATACTTTAATTAAAGCTTAAAAGAGTGGCCAAAACTCTGTAAAAAAATTTTTAAAAGTTTTAAAAAATTTCGTACGAAATGATGGGTTAGGGATTTTATTTAAAATTAGAGTGCGTAAAGTACATAAGGTACGAAATCAAATAATATGTTGATTTCAAGCCCTTTCAAAAACAGCTTGTTTGTTTGTTTTAGTTTGTCTTTTTAGGAACGGAAGTTGTAAACAAAAAAAACTTGGTAAGTAGAAAAAAAAATTCTTGAAAATTCGATTAAATCCGTGTATCTCAGAAGCCACTGGGAATTGGCTCCTAGTTTTAAACAAAAATTTTACCCATTTACAATGCCCTAACTAAGCCATGATATATAATATTGTACTCTTTACTGAATCACCTGTTTTTAGTATTCCTGAATAACAAATACAACAACTTGTTTCTTTTAGTAAAAAGCAGAATACATAAACTTTAAATTGACAAAATGATAGTGAGAATTAACCATTATTTTACACTGATTTTTTTTTTAATTTAATAGAATACCTTAAACGATTAGTTTGAAATGTTTTATGAACTAATTTCATTTTTAGATATTAGTAAATAGATAATTTGTTTCATTGGGAAAAACTTTCTCCTTTCATTCAAGTTATCATCTCTCAAAAATATCATCATTTCAATTTTTCGTACTTTATTTTTCCAAAGCTTTCTCAAATTTCTAAAACACAAGAAACTCACTGTAAATGTTTTGTATTGCTGAATTGTGTATTAATATCATATTGCTGCACTTTGGAAGTCAAAAAGTGTTTTCGGTTTTTTGAAAACTTTTTGCTTAAAACGATACTTTTGTCTAAAATTAATATAGGTTATTTTTTATGATCTCTTTTAACTGGATTAATAATTTTTATACGATCGACTTACTTTTTATTTACCAAATAAAAATTAGATGTAAATATGCCATTTCGTTATAATTTTATTTCAATTTTAAAATCAAACGCTCAAAAAAAACTAGTCTACATATTATATTTTAGTTTATTGAAATTTTTTAACTAAACAGATACGCCAATACGCTAGTAGGCCTATACTGCCTAAAGTTGTTTTAAACCAATTTTTTTAATAAATCGATTTTTAATATTTTATGTATAAGATACATAGTTCTATTCTAGACAGGTATATGTACAGAATTATATAGATAGGTAGTTTTATTTTCTCTACATCATATAGAAAACGCGCAAAGTTATAATCAGTGGCAAGTATTTTTGTTACGTGGAGAAGAAAGAAGAAGAGAAAAGAATTTGTGCTCTGAAACTCACGGAGAAAGTAGGGGAGCTACCCGAATATAAGTCCGAGTGAATACCTATTTCATAAGTTGAACTGGTAACCAAAGTATATAAATGAATTAAATCAAATGTAAATAATCTATTAAATTTATTAACATAAATTAAAGCTAGAAAAGCAAAAGTTTTCAAAGTTAATTTCTTTCGTTTTTCTGTTCTTAATTTTTCTTGTATCCTAAATCAATTCTTTGTCTTATTTGAGTTAAGCTGCTTTTAGTCCAACGGATTTTTTATCACTTCATATCTAGTTATCATTTTCTGAAATACAGAATTGATGGAAATACTATGCCACTTTTCTAAATTGCCACACCTGTTTTATTCTTCGTTTAATTTTCTTTTGCCGATTATGCAATCTCAAGCATCAAGAAATTTTCGATATTCAGCTTCAGCTTTTGCGATGCGTCCGCATTTCCTATTAAATTCTTTCAAGGTTTACCCTTAGATAGGTAGATTACTTTCTTCGGTGGTGTAAGAAACATATAGATTTGAGCCAGTTATTTGGAGCTATTCCGAAATCCTAGACTAGGTTTTAACTCCTAGACTAACTTTTGTTCATAATTTTTAACATTTGCAATATTTTTAACCTTTTATATGTAAAATTCTGTTTTGTTCTAGTAACTAAATATAAATATAAAAAAACATATGTATGTACACAGATCGCTTTTGTCGTTGTATTATGTTGCTGATCTTTGTTAGGACCCTAAGACAAAGAGTGTCTACTTAAATACAGATGTTAAATACGAATGTTAACGAGTCTCTTTCAGCAATATAATGACTTTAGATCTGACGTCATTATATTGCAATATAGACATTTTAATAGAAAATGTAACTGATATTATAGATCTGAATTTAGTTGTTTGTTCAAATATTCCGTTTTAAGTTTGTCTCGGATCAAATACTAAAATAAAAAATCTATTAACACCATTAAGATTTTTGAACGGTATTTAATTCTTAGAAATACTAGGTCTGTCTGGTATAAAACTTAAAAAAACTTAAAAACGAGAGAACAGTGACGTCTTTTTTCGCAAAACGAAAATTTGATTTAAAAAAAAATCCAGAACTTGGTTCTAAAGTTTTTAAAAGACTTTTGAAAACTTTATAAAATACGTTATCTTTCGTTAACTTTAAAATATCTATGAAACATAAACAGTACATACATGAAGAAGAACTGCTTTACGATTTCAAAAGTTTTAAAAACATAACTTCAAACATTGAGAAGAGAACGCTGACGTCGTACCACAAAAAGTATAATAGCAGACAAAGTTTTAGTACGCAAAGTTTTTTCAAATTTTATAAAGTTTTTGAAGTATTTGATAACGTGATACTATTTTTGCGGTTTGTTTTATAACTACAACTGTATGTTAAGATTTTTAAGA